TGCCTGCTAAAACATGTCCCTAAGTGCATCATCAAAATGCATGTGGCTTTTTAAAAATGTATTTCTGAACACTCTCCTTGTAACCTATATACTCTGAGTTCCACATCAACAGCAGCAGTGCCCACGAAGCAGTAACTGGCAACAGAAATCCAATAGATGTGTCTGGCAATGGCAAAAACCATGAGGAAGGAGTGATCCAGTGCCATGTAAGAGATCTTGGGAGCACCAGCTGGAACCTGGAACCAGCTGCTGGGCCCTGTAGGGACATTTCCTGAACTTCGCTCCCTTGTTCAGAAAGGTGCTGACATTTAGAGATGCCTCAAAGAATGATTAAAACACAAATTAGTAATTTATTAGAAGCGACTACTTCCTCTCTGGAGATAGAGAAGAGCAGTGACTATTGAAAAGGATATTTAAATATTAAGATCACTGAGTCTAACAAGACACAGCAATAAAAACCCTAGCCAAGCGTTAATAAACATGGTTATTTTTCAAGATTACAGCCATAATACATAATTTATGAAGCTTGCAGGAAATTCTTGCCCTGATCCATTAAAGTTACTTTATAATTCTTATTTTGTGGCTGGAAAAGAGAGACTTTCTGGAGTTGCAAAACCGTAAGTAAGAATTTTCTAGACACATAACACATGATTCAATCTCATCTTGAGATTAATTTCTTTTAAATATTTCAAAAGTTACTAAAAGCATTTGAAAGCATGTAAGACACAAATCTAACTCTTAAATTCAGACAGTAAATAATCTATGACAGACTTCATCTTTATAAACAGTAAGCTCCCCTGCCCTAAAAAATGTTTAATTAAATGCTTCTGTAAACCTGCTTTGATTATATCTTGGACACACGATTTTATAAAATACAGTCAAAGAAATGCATTTCAAGAAGGACAATCATTTGTCACTACTTGTGCTCAAGACTGAAAAGTAAAGACTGAATATGAAGTGAGCTATTAAAATATATTCCTGTGCCACTGTGACCCCGTTGGGTCAATACAACAGATACCTATACATACATATATATACGTAAAACTATATATATGTACTTATGCAGGTGCTCTGAGAGGCAGAGCTCATTTCGGCTTCCAACATTATTGGCGCTCCACTGGCAGTGGATGAGCTGCAAGGTTTTATGAGTGGCAGTTAATATAATTTTTATGCCTCTGCTTTTTCACTTAAGAAATAAAGGACATTGAGATTAGCACAACATGTAAAACACACATATGCATATCTACTGTCCTTCATACTCCCTATCAGCCCCTATCTCCAGCTCCACGCTGCTTATTGATGAGTAACGGTTGTTCCATTACATTTGCCTTATTCTGGAGCAGCTGTAGGCTTAAAGCCAAGCTGTCCACTGATGGTGCCATTTGGGCATGTTTATTTGTGCCGATGGTGGTCCAAATATCTTTGTTTTTTGGACCTGCACATTGTCCAAGGCTCTAATTCCGCCAAAGAAGGCAGGTTACTGAACACTTTGCCATAAACTTGACATTAAAAATTATTCTGGTGCGATTAAAATATATATTTATAATGAGGTATACATTTAACTGCCTTATAGGAGGAGTGGGTTTAATCTTTGGTTGAATATTTTCCTGAATCAGAATTAAGGTTCTTGGATTCTTTAACTCAAAAATGACAGAATGTGGAGGTTCGAGATAAATTTTATCACACATATCTTCGCTACAGGGAACTGTGGGTCAATTTTTAGATTTACATTTTTGTTATTTCATATATTTTTATGATGTTAATTCATACTGAGGAGGAAACCAGAGTAAACTTGATAGACTAAATACTTTTGTTTTGTTGCAGATTTTTATGTTATTATATTAATATATCTTTATCAGATTCTCTTCAGAGTAACTGTTTCTTTGAAAAACAGAATTTAATATATTTTTGCTCCCTTTTTTTTCTTCACTGATCCTTTCTTGATATATTTACTTTAGTCAAGGAGTATTTTGCTCTTGTTTCTTCAGGTTAAAATTTCATTAAGGTTCTTTTGCTCTTGTGCTATCTGCAGTACACTGTGAACATATTTCAGACTTAATAATGTTCATACCAGAACACTGTCATAAAGGGGGATAATAGAGTTGCTTGATGCCAAGGTTGCTATTTTGATGTTTTGGGTAGCTTGATAATCCCTCCTATGTCATATGGTTCTGCTGAAGTACCTGGATTAATGCTCTGCTGATTTAAACAGATGCCTTGAAAGTGTTCAGTTCTAGAGCATAATTTATTAGTTCATGCTGGTCATACATAGTTATACTGGTAACTTTCAAAGTCATAGTGCAAATCTATCTTCTTTTATATTCTTGGGAAAAAGTAATGCCCCTGAGAAGCAGAAGGCCCTGGAAAATGTTGTGAAGGATAATATGAGAGCCCTAGTTTTCAAAAATCTTTATTTGGTGGTATGGCCTCCTCTTACTGTTATGTGCAAGCCAGAATTCTGAATATTCTGAACTGCCATTTAAAATTCTATATACACATATACAGGATATACCATGGACATAAAATGAGCTTTCCAGCAAGTGTCTTCAATTTCCAAGGCTATGCATAGACACTGGTATTTCTGATAGAAAGGTTTAACAAGAAAACCTCTCTGTTCAGCTCTAAAGGCCCAAAGAAAACAAGAACTCCTCCAGAATACTTTGGGCATATCTTTCATTAACAAATCTTAGGTGGCACCATAGGGCAGGTCTAGAGTGAGAGAGACAACAAGCACCTCCACGACATGAACACAGAGACTTTTATGTGCCAATATTATGTGCTAATACTCTGAGTCAAACCCTTACCTGGACAATAAACATGGCTATGTGGTGAAACTCGCCCCGGCCTCCCTGCTTCACTGGGACGGTCATGAAGAACTTGCTGCCATCCTTGGAGAAAACAGGTTCCTCATTCTACAAATAGATGATCGTGTTAGTCTGCCACATCTACTGATAAACATTTAACAAAACATCAGCCTGGGGTTTTAGTCTGTTTGGTTTTGTCACTTCCCACCCTCATAAGATAAACAGAGAAAATTCCACAGACTTTAAATATATTCTACTAAGATTAATAAAAATGTTATGAATCTTGGTTCACATCGGCACTCATCACTGTGGACACTTGTACCAGAGTAAAAACAACCCTTCCTTGGATTCAACTGAGACTTTCCAAGTTACACTCTTCTATAAATATACAACTTATATGAGAAATAAGTGCTCCTACTGATGAGGACAAAAAAAAAAAAAAAAAAAAAAAGTTTCCATGGCCTCAGCACATGCTTAGAACTCATTAGTTTTGACAAAGTTGCACACACAACAAATAACAAGCACATTTTACGGGCTTTTCTGAACCACAGTCTTTCTACAAATTGTAGCCTGATATGACACCATCCCTTCAAGTCCAACTTTGCACAGAAATATTAACAGAAAACTGCTTGCTATAAAAGCATAGATTTTTAAAAATGACTTCTCATTTGCTCATTGCAAAATGAAGCCTGAAATGTATTTTAAATAAAACGTGTTTCATCCATTTATTGGAGAGCTCTTCTGAAGCTATGAAAATTGAACCATTTGCTAACATATGAGTTCAACATATCATTCTGGCTATGAACTTAGCAATATTATTCCTTTGCATTCCAATTACAGCCTATGTGACTTCTGATCTATGCATTCCTTTGGGATTAATTCAGTAAGGGTATTTTTTAATCAGAAAAAAAATCAGCAGAGTACATAGGACATGCTTGGAATGGGATTTGTCTGACCTGTTGTTAGCCACCTAGGAGCAAGATAGTTAATAAACAAGTCATCTAAGGTGACTGCTTTGCTTAGTGCTGAGAGGTTGGAAGTGAAAGGGGATGTTGCCTCTGAAAGGCAGACAGGAGTCTCACATACTCGAGCCGGACTGTCCTGGATACGAACTGTGAGAAGTTAAGCGACAGGATTCACCCTACTAGAAAAATGCGCTGCCATCTGAACATTTGCCCAGTCACTTTTATAACTTAAGAATTTAGGATCCTAGAAAGTAGTCAAAGTAACAGATTTTTAGTATATTATAAAATACCATACAATTAAATAAATATGATAATGAAGCATTTATGCATTATATGTTGGAAAATGCATTTATACCATACCTGTTTAGGAAGCCACACATCTGATTGCATTTCATATTTCTAAAAAAAGAAGAATTTAATTTTAAGGAATAGCTATAGATCAAAAGTATTTCCACATTCAGCAAAAGGTCCCTTACTATTTTGTGGTGGTGTTTTTGTTTGTTTTGTTTGTTTGTTTCTGTGTTATACTCTTCACATAGCTTCACTCACATTTACATTGAAACAAATGATAATTTAATTACAAGGTTTGCTTTATTCCAAGTTTTTGGTAGAAAACCACAAGGGATATAAGAATGTGTTTTCAGTCCTTTCTGATTAGCTATCAGGCAGCTTTACACAGGCAGAACTCTGGGTTTTACCTCTAGGCATCATCTGACAACTGGGCATTCCAGGCCCTTCATCAACACTGGGCGAACAGCCAGAATCAAGCTCAGAGTGCAAGACCTTTTCAAATCACAATCCCTTGTTTTAGTGGGTAGCAATGTGGTATTAGTGAAGACAGAATAAAATAAATGCAAATTACATTGTTCTGCATTGGCCACAACTATATTCCACATCATGCCAGTAACCATGCACATTATTGAAAAAAAAAAAAAAAGTAGAGCATATGCTGGTTGTTATAAATTGTTGCAGTTGTACTGAAATCATGAAAAAATATTTGCTGGCAAAGCACTTGTACAAATATGATCTAAAAACTGAAGAATAAGTACCTACTAGAATACTTGTTCTCACAGTACTTTTTAGAATCAAAAACAAGTGCAAAAAGGATAAAAATGTATTCAAGTGAAACCAAATAGCATGACATAACATTAATTTCTCAGTCTGGCATTTTCTCATCAGCTATTGTGATTAGGGTGGTGGCACTGCATCGCTACCACTTTTCAGGCACCTACAAGGTTCTTCTCTGCCCTTTATTTCTGCCAGAGGGGAATTTTACAGTCCCTCCCTCTTACACCATGTCCTGGATTCCAGCTCTTTGAACACCTTCTTCAGGTGAGCCGCAATTGACCTTGGGGCACATGAGGGTCTCCTTTCAAGAGCAACTGCTCACAGTGATTCCTGACCGACTGCTTTAAAGAAAAAGGTGTAAGGCTTGCAGAAACTGGGTGACTAAACTAGCACATTTCCATGTTTATAATCTTGATCCATAGTTTAGGGTTTATTTTTGAGACAGCAAAACCAAGCACACACTCTGCAGTGTCTACACCTCAATCATGAAAAGCAAACAAGATTGGAAAGGGTCCCAACTCTTTAACATGATTGACTTCAACAGCAGACATCGAGAGGAGACTTTTGACTCAAATGCCAAACTTAGACCTCAATTAATCACTTATCATTACTTTGACTTCCAAAGTATACCTTTATAGTGGAGCTAGGTGCTGATATTAATATGTATAGATAATATTAATATTTTTCACCAGCTCATGATTCTGAATGGGAGGACGGCCAACTGTATTCATGATGAAAGACTGATCGTGAAAAGTGGAGAGATGCAACACAGGAGCCAGTGTCAAAGTCGAAGTCTGGGACAAAAGATGGGATGTGCCAGAATTCAATTGGAAAAATGTATTTACGCTTGGCTTACTTCCAAACTGAAATATCCTTGTTGCCTATGCATTTTATTTTATTTATTTATTTTTAAGTATTTTCTTGTCAAGTCTGCTTAGAATATCAGAATTCTACACGTTTGCCTTAAATCTAAGCTGTGATAGAAAGATCTGGAATTTAACTCTGTAGGGTGAGGGTGGAGGGAGCAAAACCTAGATAACTGAAAATATCTGAGGGAGCAGAGATAATGTCCCTGGCCCAGCTCTATCCAAAGTACATGATGTTCAGCAACTGCAGTTTCCACTGAAGTTAATGAGTGAACAAAGCTTGGTAATTCTGAAAATGTCACTCAACATTACTAATTGCATGAAATCACTTCACAAGATTTGGAATTTTCTCTCTTCAATTTTCTTCCTGTTGAGTAATTATATTTAGCTTGCAACTCTAACATCTGCAAACTGATTTCCTAAAATCTTCTAATGAATATGAAAGCAAGATGCAGGAAGGAACCCTGAGAACAGTGCATAGGATGCAGTCGGACTTACCCTGCTGCATGCCCCAGTCGTGGCTTCACAAACAGTGAGGATGGAGATATTCTGAGGTCTGTTCAGCCATCTCACCACAGCCTTGGTATTGCTTATCCATTTCACCATGGTGATGTAATATTCCCTGGGAAAAACATTTGCAAACACAGTGCTCAGATCATTCCTATTTTGTACTAGAATACAGTTGATCAAATGTTGATGGAAAAAAAAAAAGTGTGCATGCGTTTGCATACTGTACATTGAGCTGTATGAAAATATCAGTACTGAGGGATGGACAAAATAATCCCAGACTTCAACAGCTGTGTCCCGGATGCTACTGTTAGGAAGGCTGGACCCTAGGGCGCTGTTTCACTGGCAAATAAATATTCCACTAGCAACTCTTCCGCAGGCATTTGTAATAGGAAACTTCTCCATCTGCAAAACGTGTGTGAAATGAGTTGTACACAGTAACGGTGGGCGAGAGCTTTCACGTGGTATCAGGCAAGTCATCAGTCCGCCAAAATCACTGGAGAACAGGGGAGTCTCCTTATATTCAGCCTCTGGTAGTGTGGGGCCCTTGTCCCCTCTTCCCAAAACGCTGCCAGACTGTCCAGCAGAACAACCCACTAGGTAGCACCTTCCCGTTAGCTCTGACAGCCGACTTCTAGTGAGATAAATACTTCCTATATGTGGATACCCAAGTGAACACTAGACACAGCAGCTCCAAATATATTTCAAGTCTAATATGGACATGCTTTTTTTCAACAAGGTTCTCAACATATCAAGAAGCAAAATCATGCACCAAAACAACGCAAGATCCAACACCAGATCTGGCGCCACAGAGCAAGGACCCAACACCAAATGGTGCCACCCCATTTGGTGTTTTGAAGATAACCAAAAGGAAACATTCAATCAAAATCTGCACATCAGAGTTGACCCCTCTGCCAGGACTTTGGCACCCACAGAGCTCAGAGTCTGCATTATCCCAGATTCTCAGCCTTTGAAAGAAATCTTTATAGAACCAAACCCTACAAAACATAGACTGAGCTGTTCCATTTGGAAAGGTCTTTAATGAAGGATGGAAATGGGAGATTTAATCATTCCACCTCCAGCTGATATTGTAATTAATAGTCCAAGTCAAGCCATAACATCATCTTCCATCACTGACATAAACTGCCAGATCATTGAAGTGAAAATGAGAAATCATTTAGAAAGTCCTTTTCCCCCCTTTCGGTAACTGTGCAAAAAGTTTATTCAAATTCCAGTGCATCATGACTTATGAAGACTGTAATAACAGTATCTCTATGTAGTAACATGCATCTTTCTGAAATTAAATGCTGTCTCCAGGCAATATTCCTTTGTAACTGACAATTTTGTTGTTAACCAGTTCACATATATGTGTATATATACATGAGTGGACATATAACATCCACAGACTAGTAGTTGTAGGTCAACAGACACAACCTAGTCAAAGTTTGTAGGAAAAAAATAATATGTTTTCTTAGATTGACTGATACAGTTGGATAAAAATAGACAAACCTTTGGGGTAAAAATTGCTAAATCTGATGAAGGTGCTTTCAGTTTGTGTCTCCAAACTTACTTTTTTCTTTTTTCTCTTTTTTTTTTTATTGTTGGTGGGTTTTTTATTTTTTTTCCCAATTAATCTGCTGTTCTAATAAAGAGAATTAACTCATTTTCTCTCTCCCTCCAGACACAAAATTCCAGTACACAAATGTACTGGAATTACTGACATTTGTGCAACTGTACAAACACTAAGTTTTCTCACATCACTGTAAAAAGGAGAGAATATGACTGCTTTCTGGATGAAGGGCCAGCTACTGAATAAAAATTTACACTTATTTCAGACCCCCAATTTGAGGTACATTTACTCAGTGCTGTGTGGCACTTGACATGTTCAGAGCACAACTTCCATTTTTATATAGACTTTCCCTATTGAAAAGTCTTCCTTTATTTTGATTATCTGAATTGATACACAGTTCCATGGAGGTGTTTTAATTGTTTACTAGCTGATAATTCATCAACCTTTAAGAACGTTCTACATACTTTTTTTCACTTGTGAGTTTTGGGATGATTGTGAACAAAAAGATATATGCACTGGGCATTATTTTAAGTGCTTAACAAAGTTGACAGACACAAGAAGTCAAACAGTGAAAAGAGATTTGCATTGCACTGCACTGGAGGCACAGTTATATTCATAATCTAAATTTTTCTTTGGAGGAAATACTTAGATTTTAAATAGACTAGCAAGATGGAAAAGAACAGTTTTAGATTTTAACATAAGAAAATGTTGAAGAAAAAAAGGTCAAATTTTGAAACTTTATATTGCTTCCTACAATGGAAACATTCTACTCTAATTTAAAACTAATGAGCTGGTTGTGAAAAATCTGCTTATTAGCATAGCTACAGGGCATTTAACATTTAAGGCAATGGAAAAGGAATCTTACTTTTGTCTGTGTTATTAATAGATTTGGATTCCGATAAATACAACAATCAGATAACAATCTGGTTATCTTAAGAAAACCGAGCTACTATGGTCCACTAGTTTGCTGGCAGGCTGCCATTCATGGAAGTAAATGCTGGAAACTTGTGCCATGAACAATGCTCTGGAATATTTACTATATCCTTAAAGAATTTATGTCGATATGTATCAAAAAGTGTTTGTAGTAGAAATCTCATTTATAGCTACTAAGAGGAAGTTTCATTAAAGAGAGATATGCACAGAACTTAATAGAAATAGCAGCATGACCTGCAAGGTTAGTAAGATAACTACTGATATTTTGGTTGGTATTTTTGCATGCTAACTTACCCTACACAACACTGTGTAGTCCTGTGTGCACACACAGTTGGAAACACTCCCTGGGCACAGATTTCTCCACCCTCTGGAAAGCCCGTTCCAGAGGCTCACTTCCCTCCCAGTGAAAAATGCTTTCCTCCTGTCCCACCTGAACTTCCCACATTGCAAACTGCGGCCATCTCCCCTGGTGACATCCCCTGCCACCACCAAGAAAAGCCCTCATCTCACAGGCTGCAGGTCCTAGTCGTAACCACCTCCACTTTCTAGCACTAAGGAGAAAGGAAATATAGTCCTAAACCCTGGCTGCCTGGTACATTTCAAAGTGTATAGGAGAGCAGAAATCAGCAAATTCCAGATGTATGAGATTTCTACTACGAACACCAGGCCCATCAAGCTGTGTTTTAGCCTATCACCCGCATGCTCAGCTACAGGGACAGAGATCAAGTGCTCTCAAGTCAAATATGAATGTTATACTGATGTATAAATGCAAGTTAATTAAACATGAGTTTCACAAAACAATTAAATTATGTACCTTGATTTAAAGCTGTCAGGTGGCATCAATTCCAGGGTATGTGCTGGTCCATACAGATTAACTACAAACAGCTTTACTATTGGGTTTGTTTGACCTGCCTTTAAAAAAAAAAGGAAAAAAAGAAAACCAATAGCTTCAGAAGCACTGAAACAGCAAGAGCTAAACGGGTTCACTCATTAACATGTGTCAGTATGCTTATAAGGAGCAAGCTCTGTAGAAATTTAAAAATGACTGTGCATGGTGCAAAACTTAAGGGTATAAGTTTAAGAAAAAGTTTTCAGACGTAGTATTGGGTGCCAGAGTGAGAACTGGCATCTACTGTCAGTGCAGCTCTGCTCCCTTTGGCAAGGCCCAACAACTACCCAAAGGTAGTTCACAAACACCTGGACTTCAGCACTTTTAAGTCAGAGGTATAATTTTCTGCCATGGTTTCATTCTATAATAAAGACCAAAACTTTTTTCATTACTCTTGCCATACCACAAGCTTCATTACTGATTAATGATGTTTAGTGGGTAGCTAAACCGGCATTAAATGAAGACATTTAATAAAGACAGTGGGATTTTTTTTCCCCACTAATGAGATTACTGAAATAGTACTGTGCATCAATTTTGTACTGACCTGCTAATGCATGGAATTTCTTATTTCTTGTTTACAAAGTGTTTTTTTTATCCTTATTTTTTCTTTGCTTTGTCACTCAAGGCCTTATGACAATGAACATATGTAAGCTACCTCTGAAAGCGCTACTGCTTCATTATTTCATTATATTATTTCATAGCATGTTTTACATATTACATATACATTACATCTGCATTTATTATTGTTTCATAGTACCTATTACAGTCTCACTTTGCTCCCAGTCACACTCGTCTTACCTTAGGGTACGGATACTGCTTTCCTTTTGGGTAGAGACCTCCGGTAAATCGAGGAATAACCATGTTTG